AATGTTCACAAAGACATATAGCTTCCAAATGGCCCAAATGTAATCACAACGATGCTATGTGCAATCGGCACTGTTCTGTATAAGGCTCGTTTACTCACAGTTTTCTGTTACCATGCCGTAATCACGCGCATTATTATCGAACGGACGGCGAACTGCAAATTGTTTCTTTCTCTGTCTTTTTAATTTTCAGTTCTTTTCCAGTCCGCCACTTCTGACACCATGTTCCAAGATCGCTTATTTTAGATAGATCTTGGACGAAAACGGAAGCGAGTACAACGTGAACAGTGTCTTTGCTGCGTCGGTAAACAACTACACTTTACTGAGTGTCGGCCATGCCGTTCAAGAACAACACAATACTACGCATGCGTACAACATTAACATAATCATGTCAAAGGTTAAATATATAAAACTACGGTATCTGAATACCACTTGTTACAATTATCACTAGTACACCTACTAAATTTAGCATCTACACATTGTGTTAGCTTTTACCAGGTATTTTGTATGTTCAAAAATGTATACCGTCCAAGCATTCACATTTGCAACAATATAACTGTTGTACACGGTTGTATGGTTCTTGTTATAACGATATAACATTTGAAAGGTCAGAGTCTACTTTGTGTAATTGTGTTCCCTGGTCTTTTTTTATTCAATGTCTATTACTTTCACTCATGCCTACTTGGCTATTCAATTTAAGAAAAATGTTATTTTAATTACATTGTTACATTATTTAGCTGATGTGTCATGACAGATGTAATGATGCTGTCAGTTCCTCTAGAGTGTGAATTATGAAATGATTACATGTCTGGGTTTCCTGTGCATTTTCCATAATTTTGTTGTAGGTGTTTTCACAGCAATTATTCAACCATCTATTAAGAACTGACAACTAGTGTATTCGTGATATGTGAACTAAAAGAGCAACAGTTATCGGATGATGAAACATTTCTAAATCATAATATAAATGCTACACAAGGCATGGTACATTATTGAAATCTTTATTCACTTCAATTCTATGTTACATATGCAGAAAAAAAAATCTGCATTGTGAAAAAGACTATATACATAAATACATACAGCAAGACAACTGAAGGATATCATTGAAAGTATGTGTATGGACGGATGGAATTTTTGTTATACCACTAGAGGGCACTATTATTGCTATGCAAAGTGAATATTATATACAAGTGCACATTTGAGACAAGACATGTGCCCCTCCAGTGATAGTCATATGTACTCAACAGTTTTATAACTATTTGGCAAAAAATACAAATGCCTAGCACATAATTATATATGCTATATATATATATATATATTTCAATTACAAAGACTAACTTCAATACTTGTCAAGGCAAAACACAAAATATAATGTTTGTAATAGTTGCACTGACAAAAAAAGGCATAGTAAAAATAAAACAGACTTTTGTAAACAATGTGTTTGACGGCCATAAATTTGATGAAACAATAAATACTATATGTCACATTGTGAAATATGTCATGCATTTATTCAAAAAACAGTGAATTCTGATATCCAAGGGCATTCAGTTTCCAGAAAACAGCTGAGGAAAGTAACTCATAAAATACAAGTGTTTTGTAGCATACTAAGGGGCTGTGGATAATTGAAATATAATCTCTTAATTTAACATTCAACCCTCCTCCCAACACCAACCCCTAAAACAAAAATTTGCAAAAAAAAAGTGCAAACATCAAAAACAAAACAACTCAGTGCGATTTTTGAGCACAGTATTTACCTTTGACACCGTCCACCTCAAACAAAGAAATTTCGTTTTCTGTGTTCGCAATTTCATTATCCACAGTCTCTCAGGTACTTGGTAGGACATCAATAAGTACCCTTCAGTTGTTATACAAAATAAAATATATAATATGCCACAATGTTACCAAACATGCATAGATGGTAGTCCATGATAGACTAGTGTTTATATACAAGGTATAGAATACTAGAATCCAAGTCGGTCTGAAATAGATCCAAATACAGCAAGTTATCATGATGTGACAAAATGCTGATAAACAGACAGGCACAAGAGTCCACAACTGCAGTGGCAATGTCTATGTAGCTCCTTGACGGTTATCCAGAACTAATTTTCTGAACCTATCGGCTGACGTTGGTCGTACAGTTGTAGGTTTCGCTGAAGATGGAGGAGAAGGTCGAAACGATGGAGATGAGGATGCTTTGTCCGGAGATGTTGTGTTCTTTGAGTTTGCATTTATAATTACCACTCTCTCCTATAATGAAACAAGAAAGTATGTCACAAAAATTGGAATAAATGTATCTGAGTTACCCATGGCTAAAGATTAGGGCTAGAAATAAATTATACTATTTTCAACTTTCTGTTCCTAGTTTTCATCCAGATTTATTTCTACATGCATTTAGCTGCAATACCTAGAATACATAACTGATACTGCATTGTCTAGTTACAACAAATTGATAGGGATGAATGAGATATGATTGCATTTTTTTGAGGGTAAGCAGTAGAACTACCATTGTGTTTAAAAGGTAGTGAACACTACAACCTAGGAATAGAAGTACCTGGTGACTCATCATGGTACTACTACATTAGCTGTGTACCGATACTTGTTGCACATGCAAAGTGTGTCTGTGGTCGAAATAAGTTACATTATAACAAATGTAATTGAATTATGTGCACTTCTATTAGAAATGCACTTCTACTAGGGCAAATACAGTGATTTTTATACTAACAAACCAGTGCCAGACAATCAAGGAATTACATAATCATCCCTCTATATTTCAAATAAGTGAGATGCACCATGGGAGTACTTACTACAATTTACCAGTCATCAACAGCAAATCACATATAGATTCGGCAACAATACATTATGTCAGAGACTAA